AGAGAGAGAGAGAGAGAGTGTTCTATCCATACAATAATAATGACCAACCCACCAGCCAACACTTTTTGCGCCAATGGTTTGCAAGGTCCAAGGCTACCGTTTGCGCGAATGTGGCAAGGGTGCCGTTTGCAAAAGGGCGCCGAAGTGTCGTTTGCGCGAACGTGGCAAGGGTGGCGTTTGTCCAAGGGCGGCAAAGCGGAAGTGTCGTTTCACCCAAAATTGCAATCTGCGCCAAACGTTGCCTTTGCAAGGTCCAAGGCTGCCGGTTCGACCGCCGCCTGCCTGCCGCCCAACGACCATGCCAACAACAGTCCTACGCGGTCCCTGCCCTTGCTAGGCCCCAAAGCTAAAAAATACCCTCCCTCCCGACGACCACCGACGTTGAAATCTGACTGAATGACGTTGAACGTTGAAATGTCTCAGGGGGGGGAAACGCAACCCTGACGGGCTGCGAACATGACGGTGTCTAATGGCCAATATTGTCGCTGCATAGCAACCAACAAAATCAAGCAAGGTCTTGCCAATGCTGGCTTGGGGGGCCGACGGGTTATTTCTAGTTGATAGAACACCAAGCTTGCCCAGGCACATCGTGAGGCGAATGGGGATTGAACCCACGACCTCCTGAATGCAACTTTTGTGCCTTACCAACCGAGCCTTGCAAAATGGGAATAACATGGCCAGATGCGCCCGCCACTTTTTTTTGTCTTTCTTTCACATTTCGAGAGTGGTGTGACGAGGTCGATAGATGGTGGTGGAGGCGGGAGGAGTGAGAAAAGGGTCACCTCGCCTGTCCTGCTCCTCGCTCCCGTTTGGCTGCGCTCCCGCACCCCTGCGCTGTATTGACTTACCGTGAGGGCACGGGTGCGCAGCCCGTAGTTCGTTTGTTTATGTGGTTCGGGAAGGGTAAGGTATTGATTATGTTGTATGTATGTTTTTTCATGTTCGCTATACACAACTAGAAGAGTATGTGTGTGTGGGGTGCTGGTTGATGCTTTATTCACGATGTTCATGGGACGTTGGACCTAGTTTCCAGCAGGTGACGCTCCCCATGAATAGACAAGAGAATGTATATGTGTGTGTATGTGAGTGTGTGTATGTGTGTGTGTGTGTGTGTGTGTGTGTGTGTGTGTGTGCGTGCGTGTGTGTGTGTGTGTGTGTGTGTGTGTGTGTGTGTGTGTGTGT